ATGTTTATACAGTGGCGAGGGGCGAGGGGAATTAAGTTGGACATGAAATGGAGGTGGGGGGAATCAGTCGTTGGCTTACCCAGAAGTACTGCATAGGCTATAGCAGGAGGTGTGGGTGTTTGCTGGAGAATGAAAGGGGGGGCATTCCTTTGGTGAAAGTATGGGTGGGTATTCTGTGGACCTCAATACCCATCACCCCTAGGCATCATGGCTAATGGTAGGTGCAGCACTATGGAACTTGCTCCCACAGGAGGCAGTGATGGCCAGCAATTTGGATGGCTTTGAAATTCGTGGAAGAGGAGAAGGCTACTGATGCCTCCACAGAACAGGATTAGACACTAGATAGACATGGCTAATCCATCAGGATCTTTTGATTTTCTAATGTCAGGGCTGAAGGAAATGTAGTATCCAGCTACATTTTACTCAAAGCAGACCCATTAAAACTGATAGACCTAAGTTGATCATTGCCATTAGTTTCAATGAGTCTGCGATCAGTAGAAAGTAGTGGAAGACTACCCATTGTAGAATGGTATCAAACTGCTACTGGCAGTAGAACATGGAGTTAGATCCAGACTGAAGTTGGATCCACACAATATGTTTATAGCTTTCCCCAAAGAATCCTGGGAAAAGTAATTTGTTAAGGATTCTGGGAATTGTAGTGCTGCGAGGTAAATTGTGAGGAAAAGGGCTCCATGGGCTCTGTAAATTATAGTTCCCATAATTCTTTGGGGGAAAGTTATGTGTATGTGTTAAATATAAGGTGTGGATATGCAATCAATCACACAGAGCACAGTCTCACTGACTGGGTTCTATTCTAAGTATGACTAGTAGAAGTGCAATCTTGTGTATTTGGTAGGTAGCTGTGCATACTGACCAGAACAGAAGGGCTATCCTTTTCTTACATATGCTTAGGTGGTATCTTTGTGCAGCCAAAGCTTGCTTCTCTCGGTGTGAGGTTTAATCCACACTACAAGGATGTATCCCAAATAGCAATACTGCTACACAGATGTTCAGCGATGCCTCTATCACTTTTGAGTGGAATTACCACAGCCTCCTTCCTTCCTTCTTCCCTCTCACCCTCCCCCTTCCTATTGTGGGGTTGGAAGGAGTGGTCATCTAACCCCAAGCCTCTGTTCAATTCAAGATCTTACAATCAGGGGTGCCAACTTGAATAAAATATTGGGGAGAAGGAAAATATGCCCCACCCTGCAAAACCAATCACATGACGGGATACACCCACACCATTTGAATGACATTGTCTTGGGCGGGCGCAAAGGGACCTCAGCCCCTAGGAGTTGGCCCCTATGTTTACAATGTAGGAGGCAGCTACACGTGTACCTGACAGATGACCATGTACCCTCTGCTTCTCTTGAGGCATGCTGTTGTTCCACTGCCATAACTTTCTCATAAAGTTTAGCCAAAATCTGATTGCTAAACATTTCCACTGGCCTACTAGAGTAAGCCTGCTCCATCTTCTCTGTGACAGGCCTCCTGATCTAAGAAGGGTTCTATCATGCCTCTCCTTAGTCTTCTCTGGGCTATATGCCTCTTTCCTTCTTTCCTTCCTATGAAGAACTGCTGCCAGAGAAACTCTAAGTTGTAACTGCAACCTGTTTATGGGCTTCCCCTAGGAATCATTCCAAAAGTGCACCCACAGACGCAAAATTCTGAATGATCAGGCCTTGAAATCATCCAGAAAAATTGTTCATGTTCTCTGGAATGTGGTAAATCTCAAGTTTCGCCACATGGGGGCACATCCAGAAGAAACTGTCACCCTGTGAAAAATGACAGGTAAAAATCACATTGTGGCAGGTTTTAACTTATTGTGAAAGACTGTGGGGATCTGGCTGCAGCGAGGACAGCCTGTGAGGGTTACAAAACATCAAGCACCACCAGATTGGGACATTTTGACATGCTAATTGGGGGGGGGAAAACCACCTCTCTAATTCTGTAGCCTTACTCTGAGGTAAATATTGGGGGAAACTGCCATATATGGAGGCAGCTGATTCATTTAGCTCATTGTTGTCAACAATGTTGGATCTCCAGGTTTCAGATAGAAGTTTCTTCTAGCCTAACCAGTACATACTAGGTTATTTGACCTGCACTGTCTGCATGCAGTGCAGGTATTCTACCCCTGAGATATAGTCTGTCATCTCACACCTCTCCCTGTCACCTTGGCAACCCTTGTTTTGCACAGACCTAAAAACTTTCTCTGATGTGTAGGTGCCTGGCCATTGTGTCATAATGGCTTGAATTCAACCAGCCTGGTGGCCAGGTGGGTTGGCATATACTGGCCCGTGGATTCCTTACCTGCCACAATTCTGTAGCTTGCATTTTCCCTTCCTATCCCAAATATTAGCTAGATTTTGACATTCATTAATTTCTTGGGTTTAGCAGACTCTCTCCTTCCCACCCCCCACCATAACATTAGCAAAGCTATGCGTTTCTGCCAATTGCTGCTCTTGCAAAAGGGTCACTGTGTGGTTTATCATTCATATAGAGGTGGCTGGAACCTATTTGTGCTGTTAGGAAGAAAGGCTGAGAGGCCAGAGGAAGGTGGAGACAAAGCCAATGACAGGCAGAGCTACCTAATTCTAGTTTTGTCCCCCATTCTCCTCCTTGCTAAGTCCTACAGGGGTGAAGCTGAGAAGGAGCACGAAGAAGATGACAGACAGGGGCACATGCTAAGCTGGTTGTAAGTAAGAAGGCAAGCAAATTTGGGCTGTCTGAGAGCAGACTGAGGCTGATAGGGCTTTGCCCCATTCGCCCTGATGGGCCAGTCTCCACTGCTTATTTATATATTTCAACTGTGCACAGAAATGTCAGGCCATCTGTTACTGCACTCCTTATTCATATTTATTTGGAGCATTTGTACCCACACTTCAACCAAAAAGGCTCCTGGAGCAGCTTACATACAATCAAAGAAAGATGGTCCCTATCCTCAAGCTCGCAGTCTTAAAAAATGAAAAGAGTGGGAACCATGGTGGCTCAATACTTTATTGACTAGGGGTTGCCAGGCTTAAGACGGACAGTAGTTGACTAGCGAGACATGATGATCTCTCCTACCAGCAAAGGCAACCAGTAGTGCTCATACCTTATGCCAATCAAATTGAGTTTATAAGTCATAACTGTTGCCTCCAGCATTGCTTTTGCTGTGTTAGCAGCACTGAAGGAACCTCTCCAGGGCATAAGCCTGGGCAGCGTGCATTAAGGTCCTGGGCTGCCCAGGTAACAAGATCGCCCCCCTTGACCTCACTGATGTGGTCCAAAGGAAAGCAGAGCAAGATGTTTGGCACCAGCTTGGCTGCAGGAGTTGCTGGAAAGAGCTGTACAAGGTGCCATCTAACTGCCTTAGGGACTCCACTCTGGATTTGTGTAGGGTTTACTCCTCAGCCTTTTCTTTTGCTGAAGATGTCCTGCAAGGCAGCAGGTACAGATGGTTCCTCAGGGTGTACTCCTGAAGCCTTTTTCAGTAATCAGTATATCTACAAGGCAGCAGAGGTTTAGGATAAGAGTATTCCTTCTCCCAGGTGGGCTACCTTACCAGGTAGAGAAGATCCAACTGCCCCTTGGACAGGAGGGAGGAGGAAAATAAACACTAAAATTCAGACACCAGTTTCTAACTAGTTGTTCCTACGTGGACTAGCTGGCACAGTTCAAGAGCAAGGAGGTTCCTGATGGAGCTGGGCCTCCAGAAAAGCTGATTAAATGAAACCCTGCTTACTGTTTCTCCCACTGAGAGAGAAAGGCTGCCCCCAAGTGACAGTTGAGGGGAGAGGAGGCCTGATGGAACTGGCCTGTTGCAGCAGAGCCGATGGAGTGTGCTCTGCTTCTCAGCTCTCTCAATGCCAGCTCTCATGGTATTTAATGGCTTTTGGGAACCTTACCTCACCACCACACACACAGTACCTGTGTCTCCATGTGTGTCTTCCCACTTACACTTTGACAGCAAGGATGAATCCAATGGATTCAAGTTATAAAGAAGGTAATTCTGATAGTAAAAGCTGTTCAACAGTGGAACTGACTCCCACCAGGAGCTGCTGGACTCTCCTTCCTTGGAGGTTTTTAAGCAGAGGTTGGGTGGCCATCTGTCATGGATGCTTTAGCTGAGAATCCTGCATTCCCTATGATTCTATGTTTTGTGGACATGGCAGCCAACAAACAAGCTTGCAACCTCTTCCCACAATCTGGAATCAACCAGAGTTCTGGGTGCATGACTGTTGGTTGCATGTGACTGGTCCAAAGTCACCCAGTGAGCTTCATGGCTGAGTGGGGATTTGGACCCTGTTCTCCCAGGTCCTAGGCTGACACCAAAACCATTACTCCACCCCTTGTGATGTGGGATTGCTGATGCTGCAGTTTTAGATAACAATGAAGTTATTTGAATGCTGAAAATATTAACATCAATATTCATACACATTTTTAATTGTACTCCTAGAGGCAATGGGCATAGCCAAGGGGGGCAGGGGGGCAGTTGCCCCCAAAACCAATACAAATCCGAGGTTCTGCACCCCCTAACAAAAGTCTTCCCCCCCCTCCGTGAACAATCATGGCTATACCCATGCTAGTGGTGCCACAATAAAACTGCTAGCACATTTCCAAAGTTAAGTAGGGTCCAGCATGGTTTCAAATCCCTACATTGCAAGGGGTTGGACTAGATGACTCTAAGGGTCCCTTCCAACTTTACATTGATATTCTTATTCTAGTATTGCATGCACATAGAGAAACCCACAATGACACCCGTTTGGAAGCGACCAGAACCCCCGTCTCTCGTCCGTGGCACATGTGAACTCTGCTCCAGCTGCGAATTGGCGAGCGGGGAGGGATGCTAATGCAACGCGTCTCCGAGTCGTGGTTCTTGCCGCTCGCTCCACCCCTTGTGGTGGGTGTTGATATTGCTGCCGCCGCCGCTATTTCTGCCTCTCTCAGCCAGCCAGCCAGCGAGTCAGTCAGTCAGGCTGCTGCTCGCTGTGGCGGCGGCGGCAGCAGCAGCAGCAGCAGCAGCAGCAGCAGCAGCCACAGCTGAAGCCAGCAGAAGCGAGCGGAAGGAGCTGAGAGCAGCGGCAGAGCTGCCTTCCTCCTCCTCCCTCCGGCCGGAGAGACCATCGCCAGCCCCGGCTTGTCCCCCAAGCGCGGCGAAAGGGAGAAAGCCCAGCTCGCCCTCCAGATGCGCTGCTAAGCCTGCCCTGCCCCGGTGACTTCTCCTAGCCGGGCTGGGGGAAGGCGGACCCGGGGAGGGGGGGCAGCCAGCGCTCGGAGTCTGTGCTGCCTCCCTTCGCAACCGCTATGGATCTATTCGACTTTTTCAGGGACTGGGACTTGGACCAGCAGTGGTAGGTTTGATTTCCCACCCCGCTCTTGAATTTCATCATCCTATTGCGATGCCTTCGGGTTGTTGTTGTTATTGTTATTGTTATTATTATTAATAGTGCAGCTCAGAAACCTTTTGTTGCATCTTCCTCTCCCCTCCTTCTCAGTGTCTTGTCCTTAATAATAATATCGAGAGCCATGCACCCGTGGTGGTTTTTGTCCGGAGGTGCGTGATGCGCGTCGCATGCCCTGTTTTTCGGAGGATGCTCCAACTTGGAAGTGGTCCATTTGCAAAACAGGCAGCATCTATGGAAGAAGTCGGCATAGCCTCGCTTCCTTTGAACCCGCTCTAGCATCCCATTATTTGAACCCCCCCCCCTTTGAACCTATTCCCAACTCAATCCGATCCCCTGGGGGTCCTGTGGTGTTTGGGGGGTGGGCGTGGGGGTGTTGTTCACGCATTTTCCATGTTTCAAAATAGGTATCAGGACCTATGCTTTCTTGAACCTGTGGGATAAGTTGCAAGGGTGTGTGTCTGTTGGCTACCAAACCAAAAGCAACAAAAAACAAGGGGGGTTATCCAACCAGCAACACTCCCCCACATTGTTCATACATTGTCTTCATTGTGGCTTTCTCAAACGTGCAGTTTAGTGGTGTCAGTTGCAAGATTTCTGTCTCTCTCGTTTCCAAAACTGCCTGTGATTGTCCCTCTTCCTACCCCCTCTCCTGATCCAGAACTGAAGTGATAGGGCCCCCCCTTCCCAGTCACTGTCAGATCTCTTATTGTTTTAACTTATAAGCTTTGGAAATATCTTGAGCATTACCATGTTTTTCTCGAATTTCGGATATGTTGTGATTTGCAAAGAAGAAGGGAGTTGTGTGTGTTGGTTGTCTTTATTGTGAACTTGCTGCAAAAAAATAAATCAAGCTTGGCATCTTTAAAAAAGAAAAGAAACATTGGGGTGTTGATACTGGGAGAGCAGAAGTAGTGCAGAAGTTGTGATTTGATTCTGTATTTAACTTGGAAAACAGAGGTGCTTTGTTGCCCATAAATATTTAAATATGATTTGCCAATGTCTGGACTGGTTCTGTGTTTCACTCTGCCAAGCTAACAAGTTGCAATTTGTGCTTTCGCTCTAAAATTTAAAATAATAATAATGAGCAACCGGATTGTGGCCATTTGAGGTAGGCTGTAATTTACTAACCAGGCAAGCAAAGTAAGTAAATGAATAAATTTGCATTTTGCATGCCTGATTGGCAAAAATCTTGGCGACATAGGTAATATTATGATGTGTTTTGCTGAGAGAAGGGCAGAATCATTTTAATTTGCTGGCATTTTAAGTAAATAATTGCTGAAAAAACTAATAATAAAACATATAGATTTTATATCAAGCTAATCAGTGACACTTTGTCAAACATCCTGTAGTTGCCCAGCTTGAAAACCCTGAAACACTGTCATGTTTTCATTTATTTTATTTTTATAGCGGTTGAGAATCAGTCCTTGGGACCATAAATTACTTGCTATCAGTTTTAATCAGCAAACCAGCATTGTGGATCTTGTGAAGTGTTTTATCAGCTCTGTGTAAGCCATCACATTATGTCACTTAATAACCTTGCCGTTGTTACTTAAAAGTAATAATCACAATAAAATTAGTGCTCAATTAAATATGCTGCTTCACAGTATCTTTACCCTGCCAAACTAATTTATTTTTGCAGACAGCTGATAACCACTGTATTGCTACTCAAACAGTATTTGCATACAATTTGCCTAATTTATGGTGTGGGTAACATCATTAATTTAATGGAAGCCGTTACAACTGAGCATGGAGGTGTCGTTTGGAAAAGGAAGCATGTTGCGGTGTTTGTAGAGTCCAACACTGGCTGGGATCAGGATGGTGAATGTTGAAATGATGTGTTTGAGAAAGAAGGAAACTGTTAACATGTGTTTTTGTTGTTGAGGTTTTGGTGGAGGTGGGGTAGGGGTGGACAAGTGTTACAATATTTCCTCCTCTTTTCTGATCACCATTAACTTCCTTTATCAAAGTATTGCCGTTTTGATTTTTTTAAAGGCATCTAATGCTTTTGGCTGCAGGGGCTCTTTCGAGAGTTCGTCTCTTCTGATCTCATATGTGTCTCAGCATGGAGTATCTCCATAAATTCTTCGTCTTGTGTGCCATAATAGGCAAATGCATCAATTCGGTGGGCTTGGGTCTGCATGGTGTTGTGTACATGCACTCACTTGGGGTCTCTGTGAATTTGTGTTGATGTTCACCAAACTATTTTCTTCTGGTGAGAAGAATTTGCCAGCATAGGCACTCACTGAATGACCCCCTCCCCAAACAAGCCATAGTCATCTATAATTTAATGGCTACTGCTACACATTTAAATTTTTAACTTTTGTTCACCCTGTGCATCAGGCTCGTGCCTCTACCTTGTTTACTGCTAATTAGCTAGTTATGGAATGAGTGCATTTGCTCCTCAAAGTTGGAAGAAACTGTACATTAAAAACAATCCTGTTTTTAAAAAAACAAAAACAAAACTAAACCTGGGTCAATAGGCAATCCACTCAGAGCTTTGCAGCAATCCCCCCCCCCCCGATTTCAGCGGCACTTACTCCCAAGCAAGTGCATAAGACCGGGGCTGGAATTGACCAGTGCAAACAATTCTGATGTATGCTGGCTGCTAACTGTTGTGCATTTACATCTAAGTAGCCTTAAGTTCTATCTTTAAGGAACAACAAAAGATAATTTGCCAGAGATGAGCACACAGCAGCAGCCAATCTCTCCCTTAACCTGAAAGAAGAAGGGTTTGTAACCCTGGGATAAAAATATGCAGTGAATTACTGCAATATGTACATCTTATTCCACACAGTCAATGTGCAAGGACACAACTACATTAAGGAAATGGGATTGATGATTTAATGGAAATTTATATTGTAACCTGCTTGGGGCAGAGAGCTAGTTTGAGGTTTGGTTTTCTCTTGATGACGCTATATAAATATAATAATTATGTTGGGAATGGAAGACCAAAAGCTATATGATAGGTTTGGGGTGGGGTCTGTATCAGAGAACTCCACATGTGTTTCATAGTACATCTTGCAAATGAACCCCAAAGTAAAATTGTACCTGTCTATTTATTTATTCATTACATTTCCCCCCCCTCACCTAAGGAACTTGGATTGGAATTTATGTAGACCCCCAGTTTTATCTCCACTACCTCTCGGTATATTAAGCTAAAATACAGCAAATGTTCCAAGCCCATCCAAGGCAAATTGTGGCTATCTGGGGACCTGAAAGCAGGTTTCTCTCCGTGCAAAATTAAAACTCTGCCCACTACTGGCTTTCTTAGAAAATGACACATGTTAACAGACATAAGGCTCTGTATCAATCTAATTACCTTGGCTACATTCATACCGCAGTTTATTTCATTTCCCTGATGTTTTCCTAACTGTTAATTTCCAGATTATATTTGAGCTTCCACATGACATAGTCGGCACTTCTAGAAATCTAGTGGCATAAAAAAATGGAAGTTTAGTGGTAATTTCACTAGCAGAGATGTGGAGATGTGAATCAGGAAAACCAGCACAATTTCCCCCATGTCTGAGTGGACCTTTCATCACCTTGTTTATGGAGATGTGGAGGCCCAGAAAGAAACCTGGGCAACATGGAGTGACAGTGCTCTCCTCAAGCCAGTTTTGTTTTTTGATATTCCTTGGTCCTTTACGAGGAATGTGGAACCAGATAATGTTGGACTTGGAACTCCCATCAGCTCTGGCCAACATGACCCTTGATCTGGGATGATGGGAGCTGGAGTCCAGAAACACCTGGAGGGTCACAGGATTGCCCCTCTTGTCTCCATTGTGCCCATGTGGCTTTACAGCACTAAGCAAAGCAAGGCAGATTCCTAAGGTACATAGAAGATTATATTTAAAGATGGCTGGAGGTTAGGAAGGCCCAGGGGTCGGTAATTAGGAACTCCACAATATGGATGGGCTTTGATGGGGCTGTTGCAGGAAGAGAGAGTGTTGGAACTAGGTGTGTTCAGGAAACAAATAACAACAATAACAACAACACCGCCATCATCACCAACAACAATTTATGCCCCACCCATCTGGCTGGATTTCCCCAGCCACTCTGGGCAGCTTCCAGCACATATAAAAACAGTAATAATAAATAAGGACAAAGGAAGAGAACTGTCAGAGTCTGAAGTGCTGTGATTGATCATGAGGTGGGAAGTCCTGGGTTCGAAATGCAGCATGCCCATCAGGTAACTTTAGCCAAGCCATAATGTACCAGCCATTCCTCAGCATCAATAGTCTATTATACTGAAATGTGTAGGAACACAGAAGGCTTCTACAGAGTCAGGCTGTTGGAGCATCTAGTTCAGTATTGTCCACACTGAATGGCATTGGCTATCCAGGGTTTCATGCAGGGGGCATTACCAGGCCTATGTGGAGAGATGCTGCAGATTGATCATGAGACCTTCTTACCTGGAAATCAGGTGCTCTGCCAGTGATCTAAACTAGTCATTCTCAACTTGTAGGCTTCACTGAGCCAATGTCTATTTGGCTTTTGTGTTGCAGCAGAATCCTAGGTACAGAAAAAAGTCCTTATTATGTTTGATGGTCCGGGGTATTGCTGCTAACAAGTAGTCTTGAGTTATCAGCCTTCTGCTGCAGAGCCCAGATACTCTTTCCTTCCCACTTTTTCAAAAAGAAAAAGAAAATCTTTGCTTACAGGGCATGTGGGGAAACTGACGAGCACAGCTGTGGTGAAACCCCAGACACCCTACACCTTAATTTCCCCCAAGGCACCTGTACCTGTAAATTAGTTCAATTTACTTCCGTGCAAATACCTGCAATGTTGCAGCACCCCTTTAACTGCTTAGCAATGCCCCTGTTGCTCCCAGATAAGACTTGGTAGGCAGTATGGCACAATGGCTACTCCCTTAGTACTATTAATGAATCAAAGCACACCTTCAAAAAAAGGAAAGATAATGCTTCAGAGGGTTTTGTTTGTTTGTT